AGAAGACAAAGCAAAGCATTATAATGAAATGCGTAAAGACCTGGAGTCAGAAAACCAAAAGGAAAGAACACACTTAGCATTTCTCAAGCTGGGGGAACTGAAGAAAAAATAACATCTCAATTTGCAATACTGAAGTGTTCTTGGGGCAAAATATTGAGCAATGGAGAAGCATCAAAAGAACATGGAAGGAACACACAAAGTCACTCTACCAAAAAAAATTAGTCAATGTTCAACCATTTCAAGAGGTACCATGTGATCAAGAACCAGTGATACCGAAGAAAGAAGTCCAAGCTGCACTGAAGGTAATGGTGAAAAACAAAGAATTCAGGAAATACAAATTGGAATGTTTCAACAAACTGATGTAGTGTTGGAGGTGCTAACTTGTCTATATCAAGAAATTTGGAAGACAGCTACGTGGACAACCAATTATAAGAGATCCATGACTGTGACCCTATGGAATGTGGAAATCATCAAACAATACCATTAATATCACATCCAAATACAATTTTGCTTAAGATAATACAAAAATGGTTTCAGCAGTACATTGACAGGGAGGGAGTAGTTAGAAATTCAAGTTGGATTCAAAAGAGGACATGGAACAAGGGATATCACTGCTGATGTCAGATATATCTTGGGTAAAAACAAAGAATACCAGAAAAAAATGTTTACTTATGCATTAATGACTATGCAAAGGCATTCGACTGTGTGGATCATAACAAACTATGGATGACATTGCAAAGCATGGGAATTCTAGAACACTTAGTTATGCTCATGAGGAACCCTACCTCAAGAGGGAAAAAGAGGCAGTCATTCGAACAAAAAAAGGGGATGCCAAACACTTCAAAATCAGGAAAGATATGTGTTAAGGTTGTATTATTTCAACATACTTATTCGAACTGAATTCTGGGTAAATATTCCAAGAAGGAAGCCTGATTATATGAAGAAGAATGTGGCATCAGGGTCGGAAGAAAAATCAATAACATGTAATATGTAGGTGACACAACCTTGCTTACTAGAATCAAAGAGGAGTTGAAGTTCTTACTAATGAAGATCAAGACTACAGTCTTCAAAATGGATTGCACTCAGTGTAAAGAAAACAAAAATCCTCACCACTGGACCAATAAACAACATTCTGATAAACAGAGAAAAAATTGACATTGTCAAAGCTTTCATTTTACCTATATCCACAATCAACGCTCATGGAAACAGCAGTCAAGAAATTCAACAACATACTGCATTAGGCAAAGTACTGCAAAAGACCTCTTTAAAGTGTCAAACAGCAAAGTTGTCACGTTGAGGACTAAGGTGCACCGGACCCAAGCCATGGTATTTTCAATGGTCTCATATTCACTAGAAAGCTGGGCCATAAATGAGGAAGACTGGAGAAGAATCAATGCATCTGAATTATTATGTTGGCATAGAATATTGAATATACTACAGACTACCAAAAGAACAAAGAGATCTGTTTTGGAAGAAGTATGGTTGGACTGCCTCTTGGAAGAGACCCAGCAGTGTTTAGTTCCGTTGGACACAGGGTTGCGATGAGTCAGAACTGACTTCAAGGGCACCTAACAACAAGAAGCTGAAGTTAAACTCATTCATTTATCCACTCTAAAATAAACAATGTTGTTTTAGACGCATATGACTTTTGTGATCTCACCTGATTTTCCACTGTGGCAGTCTGTGCCAGCTTCTGATTCAGAAGTTGCAACACACTTCAATATTTGATGTCCACAGCTTATAGAACAAGATAGAAAAGTATATATAATAAATGAAGTAAATCTTTTACCTAAACATAATTAGGAAATTTTCTTAGCATTTAACCAAATTCTCAACTAGAAGAAATCCTAATGCTCCAATTTCTCAATAAACTAAATAGGCTTTATTGTAGACACTATTTATGTATTCCTCCAGGAAGTAACATAATTTTCAAAGTCAACATTAGGGTCTAGGGTAATCGCTTATTACTACAGAAGGAGAAATGAGATTGAACACCATGTGAATGAGGTATGTTTAAGTAGACACTAAAACTGCACATACTAAAATAATTCTCTAGATTTACTGATATCTCCTTATGGGAGGAATACCACTATATTGCATCTCTAATGGAGAACGTTTAATTGGAAGATGAATTAATAGCACCAAAATGATAACTAATTTAGAATAAAAACTGCTAGAGAAATACAGTCTTAACCCATCATCTAATTACAATATAGAATCAGAAACTGATAATACTTTATTCAAATAAGCTTCATTTTGAGACAGAAATAATAAACATCTGGGAAACGTACCTGTTACAAAGATTGCTGTCTGCATTTCTAAGTTGCTGATAAAAATCTGGTGTACTGGGTGCATTACACAAAGATTTATGCAAAGTAACACTTGGCTTAGTTAGAAAATCAGCAGTATCAGGAAATTCTATGGGAGATTGATTACTTAGGGGACCAGGAGACACTGGTCCGTGGCTGGGAGAATTCACAGGACTCAAGCTAGATAAAGTACCTTTAAAAATTAAAAAGGAGGAGATGAAGAGATAAATTAATAAGTATATACATTTGCATATTGTTTATATATTTATAAAGAGAACTTTTCATCTTTAAAGAAATTTAAAGTATTTATAATTAAATGATAAATTTCTACTTTGACTATCTTGAAGACAGTCAAGTAATTAAGCAGCAAACAGACCATTGTTGTTGTTGTTAAGTGCCATCGAGTCGGGTCCGACCCATAGCGACCCTGTACAGGGTTTCCGAGGGTGTAAATCTTCACGGGAGTAGACAGCCTCATCTTTCTCCCGCGGAGCGGCTGGTAGTTTCGAACCGCTGACCTTAAGGTTCGCAGCCCGATTCGTAACCACTACGCTACGAGAGCTCCTCATTTTGTTGTTGTTAAGTGCCATCAAGTCGATTCCAACCCATAGCGACCCTGTATAGGGTTTCCGAGGAGTAGCTGGTAAGCTTGAACCGCCGACCTTGCAGTCTGACCTATTAGCTCACAATGCCACACCAGGACTCCATTTGTCCTCATAGAGACCCTTTATAAGGTTTCTAAGGAGCAGCTGGTGGGTTTGAACCACTGATCTTGTGGTTCAAGTAAACACCCTACAGCAGGATGCTACATACCATTTTAGTGTTTTTATTTGGCAGAAATGTTTCTAATCTACATTGGTCTGTATTGCTTACATTTGGTAAGCAGACCATACTGATTATTCACATGAACAAAGCAGCTCTACACTAAATTTTATTTCCAAGTTAATAGTGTCAATCTAGCTGAACACATGACAAAGTTCTATACTAACGCACTTGGCACATCCCTTTAATAAATATATCCAAATTTCTTTCAGCTCATTCATTCATTCAGCAAATATTTAGAAGTCTCCTCTGTGCTGAAAAAGTAGCCCTGGTGGCACTGTAAGAGAAGAACTGGACTGCTAACTGCAAGGTAGACAGTTCAAATTCATCTGTCGCTCCATGGGAGAAAGACGAGACTTTCTGTTCCCATAGGGATGAAGAGCCTTGGATAGCCTATGCAGGTCACCGTGAGTTGGAACTGACTTAGTGACAGCGGGTGTGCTCAAAAATGTGTTGAGTTTCATAATGCAGAAAAAGATAGCATCACTACAATTCAAACATACAATCTAGTCAGTTGCTGGAGTCTGGCTTGTCACATCTTTCTTCACATAGTAGGAGTTTCAAACCACCAGCCTTTGGGATAGCACTCAATGACTTTAACCAATGTACCACCAGGGCTGCTCCTGTATAATCTAGTGGAGAGTACAAACAAGTACTCAGGGCTACAAGGAAAAAGTAAAGACCTACAGGAAATCCTGCTGATTTACTCTAGAAACTTTTGCTGAGTCCAAGACAGACAGGACATCATTTTATGTCTCGTCTGAAGACAAGAAGGGAAATCATTGGCTAATAATCGGCTAACATTTCTGTTGTCAGGACTCATTTCTCAAAATAGATCTAACACTGTTGTTCAGTGCCACTGAGTCAGTTCCAATTCATACAGACCCTTTGTAAGGTTTCAACTTTACTTTTCTCAGGCATATAGACCTGAGAAAAAGGTAGACACATTTAAAACCTTATTTATTTTTAAATCAAGGCCCAAGAAAAGTGTTCATCAGAGATGACAGTAAATAAGTTATTAAAGATCACAATATTTGCACAGCTCTGATTTTCAGAGTTATTTCATCTCCCCACAAGAACCCTGTGAGTTAAACAGTGCCCTTTCTGTACATGTGAAGGAAAAATCTACAAAACTGTCAAGTAACTTCAACTACTTCACACAGTTAATGCTGTGAGACCATATTCTTTCCAGGACTGTCACTGCTGTTCAATCAGACTGATTTGTTTAAAGGCTCTTATAATTTCAAGTAAGGAGTTCTGGTAGTGTAGTGGTTATGAGTCAGGCTGCTAACCTCAAGATCAGCAGTTTGGAACTACCAGCAGTTTCACGGGAGAAAGATGAGGCTTTCTGCTCCCTTGGGAACACTATACAGGGTGGCCATCAGTCGGAAACGACCCCACAGCATACCACCACACCACCACATAATTTCAAATAATGTCAGGACTGAATAAAACTGTATATATATATAATCTAGTCTAAGGAGCTCTGATAGCGTAGTGGTTACGAATCAGACTGCGAACCCCAAGATCAGCAGTTCAAAACTACCAGCTGTTCCGTAGGAGAAGGAATGAGGCTTTCTGCTCCAGTAAAGATTTACAGCCTTGGAAACCCTGTACAGGGTCGCTATCAGTTGGAACTGACTCCATGGCACATAACAACAACAACAAAGTAATATTCCTTAAGAGGAAAATGAAGACGAGAAGGGAAATAACTGGCTAACAATTCTGTTGTCAGCACTCATTCCTCTAAATATAACTAACGCTGTTGTTGTTAAGTGCCATTGAGTTGGTTCCAATACATAAAGACCCTTAATAAGGTTTCTAAGGAGCGGCTGGTGGGTTTGAACCACTGATCTTGTGGTTCAAATTGACCTTGTGGTCCAGTGCTTATCCTACAGTGCCACACCAGGATTACAAAAACCTGACAAACAGAGGGTAATAAGGGTTAAATGATACCAACTTATAGGTGAGAGACCTGGTGTTGCCATGGTTACGTGCTTGACTAGGAATTAAAAGGTTGGCAGTTAAAATGCACCAGCAGATCTGCTGGAGAAAGGTGTGGCATTGAACTTCAGTAAAGATTTACAGCCTTGGAAAATCTACGGGACAATTCTACTTTGGTTTTAGTTAGGTATACTTTCCCTGATAAAGATTTAATATAATGTAGCAAAGAACTGCTTTGAGGAGAGGGCAAAACGGAATAGAAGAAAACCAAACAACCCTAAGAATTACTTTCTACAGTATAACTTCATTACTTTTAAACATTTTTTTATTGTGAAATATAACGCCCATACAGAAAAGTTACAGTAGGCATGCCCATCGCTCAAGTGAAGACATAAAATATTGCCAGAGGTCAGCACCCCTCTTCCTCTAGCTTTCTACCTTCCATTAATAAAATCATTCTCTTAGATTTATGATATTGTTTCTCGCCTCTCTTTATAACTATAACACCTATGTGTGCGTCACTGAATGATTTATGAGGGTTAGTTAAAAAGTACTGCTAGTAGGATTCCAGTTCATACATGCATGAGTGTACTCCAAAGAAAGTATGTTTAAATGTGTGTGTGATCCATGGATGCCTGCAAACAAGTTCTCTCAGTAATAGTCTTACCTTAGTCTCATTGGGGTATTAAGTACCATCAAGTCAGTTCTGACTCTTAGGCACCCTATCTACAATAGAACGGAACTGTCTGCTCCAGTGTCATCCTCACAATTGTTGTTATGTTTGAAGCCATTGTTGCAACTACTGTGTCAATCCATTCACTTTAGTTGCTCTGTGTTTAAGAGCAAGCTTCAGAGTCCCTTTTGACATCCATTTTGATCATTTCTTGAAGTTATCCCAAAATTCGTCTGGACTCTTGGTCATCATTATTCAATGCATCAAATGTATTCTTGAGGTGGTCTGAATTAAGTGGGATATGCTAATGGCTGTATTTTGGTTCTTATAAACTTGTCTTAATCTTCTCCAGATTCAGCTTGAATTTTCATATGCGTAATTGATAGATTGCTCCACACTTGCCCATGGGTTTTGTTCTGAATGATAGTAAATTTCTCTATCATCTTTTTCCACAGATGTAGTTGATTTGATTCCCATGTATTCCATCAGATGAGATCCACAAGTATAAATACCATTTATATTGTTGTAAAATGGTATTCCAATGAATACGTCGTTAGTCTTGCAAAATTCTATCATGCAAACCCCTGCATCATTATAAACATGGTATATTTATAAAATATCTTTCATCCCAAAATGCTGTTAATAGTCTATTATCTTTTGATTTACTTAACATTTCTCTATTAGAACGCATTACCAGGATATGATCAAGGTGCTTCTCTATTGTCATGCTAAGAGTTTTTTTTATTCCCCTTCACAATTACCTTTCTACAAAGGAATACTTTTGTAGATTTTTCCTCATTCTGGATATAGAAATATGGATCTGCAACTGTTCTAGTTAGTGAACTGTCCTACATTTAATTTCTGAATTTCTAGTGACTAACAAAGTCTCTCATGCGTAGTGGTGGTGGTGGTTATGTAGCTCAAAAAATGTTTATTATGAATGAGCAAATAGTCAGCTAATAAAAACCAAAACCAAACCACCGCTGTCGAGTTAATTCCAACTCACAGTAACCCTAAGAAAAGAGTATAACTGCCCCACAGGGTTTCCAAGGCTGTAAATTGTTACAGAAGCAGACTGTCACCTTTCTTACAATGAACAGCTGGTGGGGTTGAACCACTGACCTTTCAGTTAGCATTGTGTGCTTAATCACTGCACCACCAGAGCTCCTGGTCAACTGATAGCCAGCCCACATTGCTTAGTAATGCTGACTTCTAACACTTGGAATGGTATTCAAAACTCGCTGTAGATGTATAATGAAAACAATCTGTTCTACTGTATACTCTGAGATCTCACATACTTATATCATAAGAATGATTTCTTACCAGCTCTTCTCAGACTTATATGATGAGTGAATGATACAGAAGAAGACCTTTGCTTCGGGATTGTCAGTAGGTTTGAACTAAGTGGTCCATTTAGATAGTATCCTTGACTAAAAGGAAAAGATAATAGGTTAAGAATTTTAAACTCATGGGAAATATTTCCTTTTTCTTCATGGTCATTAATTAAATTAGCAAATACCTGCTTTGATATTCGGAGTTTGCTATCTAGTTCCAAGGAGTCCTGGTGAGGCACTGTGGGTTAATGCACTGGACTTCAAGGTCAGTTTGAAGCACACGGTCAGCAATTCAAGCTCACCAGTCATTCCTTAGATACCCTAGACAGGATCACTATGAGTCGGAACTAATTCTACGTCACTTAACAACAACAATCTAGTGCCAAAGCCCTAAAGCAGAAATCCATAAACTAGGTTTCTGCCTTAAGGTCTCTGTGCTACACTCAGCCCTGCCACTGCAGCACAAAAGCAGCTACAGATAACAGTATAATAAATAGTATGGTTGTGCTTCAATAAAATTGTATTTACAAAAAATAGGCTGTAGGTCCACAAACTGTAGTTACGGACTCCCTGTCTAAAGCAGGCTAGTAGTATCACCAGGAAAGTTTCTTAAAAACACAGATTACTGACCCTACCACTAAGGTTCCTGGTTCTATAGGTCTGACGTAGACTTAAGAGTTTGCATTTCTAAATAGTTCTCAGATGATGCTACTGCTGCTAGTCCATTGGCCTCACTGGGAGCTGATGGCTCAAATATCATGTACAATTTTTCTTTGTTTTCTGTTCCCTTGCCTCACCGATTTTCAACCACCCTTCAAGTCAGTCAGATCCTAAAACTGGAATGCTTTCCTATAAGTTTTTGGGAATCCTGGTGTGGCACTGTAGGATAAGGGCAGGACCACAAGGTCAGTTTGAAACACAAGGTCGGTGGTTCAAACTCACCAGTTGCTCCTTGGGAATGCTATACAAGTTCGCTGAGTTGGAACTGACTCGATGACACGTAACAACAACAACAACATGAATATATATAGGTAGGCAATTATAGCACACCAATGTGATAAATAACCCAAGGCAACCCAAACCCATTGCAATCAAGTCAATTCTGACTCCCTGCTAGACTACAGAACAGAGTACTAAGGTTTAAGAGATAATTACATGAAAGCTTGTGGCCCAATGCCAGGCATGTTAGCATGCACACCATAAATGCTGGTTACCTTTCTTTCTTTAGGTATTTACTGCTCTGTTTTCTTCTGGTAGAGTCAACTTCTTATCTGCTGGGTACTTTGACACAAACACAAGGAAAACTGTAGATTCTTTGTCTAGTTTCATTCAACTTTTATTACTTCAGACTACGTCTTCAATGAGCACCTCTCCAGTTCTTTTCATCTTTCCTGCATTTCCATCACTCATTTACAAACAGAAAACTATTTTTCTTTAACTTAACAGGTTCTTGTTCATGTCTCTATTAACACCACTTACCCACCCATATGGTATGTTGTTGTTAAGTGCCTTTGAGTCGGTACCAACTCATAGTGACCCTGTATAGGGTTTCTGAGGAGCAGCTGGTGGGTTTGAACTGCCGAACCTGTGGTTCACAGTCCAGTGATGACCCTATAGCAGCGCCACACCAGGAGTCCTATGAGGGAGCTTTAAAATGTTTGTGGAAAAATGGAATTGAAAGATGATGGAATTTTTCCAAGGCCTTTTGAAGCCCTCTCATATTACAATTTTACTGCTTAAAGTATGCAAAGATACCGCCAAGTTTTCTAGGTAAATCAATTTTGTAATCAGCCACTAATCTAGAGGATGGCAGCAGCGTGCTGAGATATAACAGTAACACGAAACTTTTCAGAAAAATGAGAAGTATGAAATATGATTTCAGGCACAGATTCAGGGAGTACAAGGTGCAATACTGGCGTCATATTGAAGTTAAAAAACACAGTCAGGAAAGCTGTAATCAGAATCCAAAGCTGAGTTCCAAAAAAAGATTAAAAAATCCTGACTTTATTAGAATACTTCAGCACTAAGATCTGAGCACTGAGATTGTACATCTTAGATTTTTGAGTCTGAAATCATATTTCTCATTTTTGCCATGGCATCACAACACCCATCCCAGATCATGCATTAGTCTTAGTAATGTCTATTGTCAATTGTAATTACAGAACAGCATGTAATAGAGATGTGTTGTTGTTGTCAAGTGCTGTCGAGTCGGTTCCAACCCATAGTGAACCTGTATAGGGTTTCCAAGGAGCGGCAGGTGAGCTTGAACCGCCAACCCTATGGTTGAAACCGACCTTGTGGTCCAGAGCATTAACCCACAGCGCTACATATAGTATTTCTTATATTATCAGAATACTAACAATAAAATTGTTTTGCAAATCCTGAATTGAATTTGAAAGAAAATAAACAAGATTAAATAATAAGAAGAAGTGTCATGTTTAGGCTCTGCATAAATTTTGTACCAATCCTCATTTTCCTGTACTGTACTCTTTATACTTCAACTCATTCCTGTTTTACTTTTCATGTCACTCAATTTTGCTTTCATGTAAAACAGTTCCTGTACTTGAATGTATTCTAAAATACTCAAATTAATAAACCACAAAAGAATCTAGAAATTTACAATTATTTGATCAGGTTTCACATATAAATGTCAGCATAAATTTTAACAGATAAACAGCTATAATCCAATTCTGCCATCTACTGTTTCAAATGTGAAACTATACTGCTCAAATTAAACAAATTACAGCATATGCTCAGAGAGGTATAACATGAAATTTACACTAATACCAGTTTTATTAGCCATGACATAACTGACTGATAGAAGCTTATTACTCACACAAGAGATCATCATTTCTGACTTTCAGAAAACACAGTACTGGATCCTTTGGTACCAGGTATTTACATTTAGAAGATTGCAGCTCTTACATTTCCCAGTCTCGTATAGTTCCTGTCACAGATTCCCTTCATGTCTATGATTGGCAACTGTTTCTTCCTGGTGTGTCTTAGTCTAGAGCCTCCACTGAAACCTGTCCACCACCAGTGACCTGCTGGTATTCGAAATACTGACAGCATGACCTCTAGCGTCACACAGCAACACATAAGCCACCACAGTGAGATGTATACTGATAGATGAGTGGTCACCAGAAAACATTAATCCTAGAAAAGGCAATCTTGCTATGAGGTTTTCTGAGGAGTGGTTGGTGGGTTTGAACTGCCAACCTTGAAGTTAACAGTCCAGTGCTTATCCTACAGTGCCACACATAGGTCAACAAAAACCAAAGAAACCCCTCAATAAGGTGGACTGAAACAGCTGTAATAACAGACACAAACATACCAACAACCATGAAGATGGGGCAGTAACATTTTGTTCTGTTATACATAGGTCACCATGACTTGATGGCAATTATCAATAGCCCTAACTTAATTCTTAAAAGGATATAAAATATTTTATCAGCCTTAGTCCTCTAGTAGGAATAGGATTTGAAAGAGGTTTGCTACCTTATACTTACCATGTGATATAAACTCTGGCAACTTGCTCTTCTTTTACAAGTCAGTAACTATTAAAACTACCTTTGGATACTGTGTATTCGATTGGTAACTGCCTTTGGAATGGTTTCTATTTGAATTCTATCAATTTAAAAGCTTTCCCGTGTCATAAATTGATTGCAAGTTTCCTTAAATCTTCACATTGGCCACCACACTTTGTACCCAACCTACCAAAGTTATGGCATAGGCATGTCAGCTTCTTTTTAACAGTTTCTCTCTTTTGCTATATTATTACTACCCACACTGTCCTATACCTAAAATGCTTCAACCATTCCTTACTGCTTTTAGAACAATTTAAAACTTTATTCACAGAAACAAAGTAGATGTATTAAATCCAGATTTTTTAAAAAAGGGCTCTAGAGATTTTACCTTGGAATGCCAAATTCTTGATGAGGTCTTTTGCCACTATTACGTTCCCACCTTGAAGAAGCCTGCTCAATAGGTGGCAGACCTGAAGTTCCTGAACTCCTCCTCAGCAGTGGTGTGGGTAAACTGCTCCTATTGCTTAGCCCCTGCTGAATCATTGAACAATGGTTAAAATCTTTACCCTTCAATACGCAGCACATGCAATATTAAAGACAGTACATGAGATTACTATTACAAATTATATTTTTAACATATTCAGGGGCAAAAACATTTTGTTCTCTAAATATGTAAGTTTTCCTCCAAATTTTACATCCTATATGGTTGTTCTACTAAAAAATTATTTCTACAATTTAAGTAGTTTTTTTTTTCCCTTTCTTGTACACATATTATCCCTAGTTTTATAAGAAACAAGTTCCAACTCAAAACATGGATATGAGAGTTACACTAAAATAATACTTCAGAGGAAAAGTTTACTGCCCCAAAACTGATCCTAAAACATTTCTATTTTTACTACAATATTCTCTAATGTACATAGTAGTTAATATGAAAAAAATCAGCAGAGTTACCATCTGAATTAATGATTAAATCAAATTTAGAACTTTAACACTGATTATATTTACCCTGGAGTCCTGGTGTGGCACTGTAGGTTAAGCACTAGATTACGAGGTCAGTTTGAACTGTAAGGCTGGAAGATTCAAACCTACCAGCTGCTACGTAGCAACTCAACACAAGGTCACTATGAGTCACAACTGATTGGACAGCACTTAACAACAACAACAACAACATATTTACCCTAACTTTTATAAACAATATATATTATCCTAATATTCTTTTAACTAGAATATTCAATTTTTGAATAAGCTTATTTTGTTGAGAATTATATAACACAGCTTATGTTTCCTATTAATTTCCCCTATCCACAGACACTGAAACAATAACAGAGAGATAAATATCTGTCTTATATTTAAATGTGCCCAATGATACTGATTTTATAAAAGTTCCTGGTTAAACAGTCAGTTCTTTAGGTAACATAATCCTTACTTGTTATAATTTAGGTTCACATAGTCTTAGTTCTAAACACATCTAACATTTATTTTCTATCATCAGCTCGAGCTCTTTTTCCTTTAATAATATATATTTTTAAATACTGTTGTTGTTCTCCAAAGTAACATAAGGCTCTTAAATTATTTTTCAAGAGCGGAGATAAATTAGATATGGTATTCAAATAAGGAGTTTAAAGAACACAAAGAAAAGGAATAGTGGGTTATTTCCTGATTTTTATATGATATCCTATCAGTAGATATCAGTACCAAAAATAAGCCTGGTTAACTAGAATGCTCAGGAAATGAGGCATTTAAGTTTCCTGTTTAATTAATTTTATTGTTTAAAATGTTTCTAAAATGTACCATTATATTTTTCTACTTAATGGGCAAGCACAATACTGATGCCAGTATGATTTTTATGATTAAGACCTGGTGTGGCTCTGTGGGTTAGCATGGGTCAAGCTCACCAGCCACTCCTCAGAAGCCCTATAAAGGGTCGCTGTGAGTCAGAACCAGCTCAACGGCACTTAACAGCAACAACAGTCTAAATATCAGCTATCGAAGGAAAAAGGAAAGGATGAGCAATCCGAATGAATACTAACTCAAGAACATATAAAAGAATCATTTTATTGATCATTTTATTGCTATTGCTTTTGAAAACTTGTGACTAATCTTTCTTACAAGGTGGAGTGCTGAGAAAAATGCCATATAATAAAATGCCATATTAATTGGGATTTGGCTAAGGCAGGTGCTACTAAACTTTATAAAAAAAACAAAAGCATCACATAACCACTTATGATTGGGATTATAATCAATAACAATTTTCAAATTTTATTTGACCTAACTGGTCTTTCTTGATTTTCAACATTTCTAAACTTTAGAATTCAAAACTAAATGAAATTAAATGATGATCAAAATCCTTTCAAATATTTAACATTTTTTAGCTCTATGCAAACTATAGCGTAGTGGTTACGAATCGGGCTGTGGACCTTAAGGCCAGCAGTTCGAAACTACCAGCCGCTCTGTGGGAGAAAGATGAGGCGTTCTGCTCCCGTAAAGATTTACAGCCTCGGAAACCCTGTACAGGGTCGCTATGGGTCGGAACCGACTCGACGGCACTTAACAACAACAACAACAGTGCAAACTATTATAACGGACTAACTGATTTGGATTTCTTTCCCTCTTGGCTAGTTTCTTTAGTTGTAGAATGCAGTAGATGAGCTACAATCATCTCTAAAATGTTTCTTTACAGCTATTGGTGGAGTCACTGATAAACAGTCAAAACAAGTAAAATGCTCTGAACAAGCATAATATATACCTATTTACAACAATATTTTTTTAACAGAAATCCCATTATGAAAGTTTCCTATATGGTGTTCTTGATGTCTTCCCACAACTCTTCTGGTCTTTAGCCATAGTGCTCAATGCATCAAACATGTTCTTGGATTAATTAAGGAGAAATTAATCCCACATATAATTATTGAAAAATGAATGTCAATTAGGCAATCTCAGTGTGCAGTGTGCAAAAGCAAGGGGAAAAAACAAGTTTGCAAAAACTGTGAAACTTAAAATGTGTTATATAAATCATTATAATGATTGTTTTCTATAAGTTCATAACAAGAACAATCCCTGTATTCTAAACAATAAAATATATTAATAGCATGTTTAACTATTAGTGTGTACAGGCATGGAACTAAATTTGCTGTTTTCTACTTTGTAATAATAGTAAGGACCATGACAAACAGTTGTTATCATTCAAACTATTGCTGCTCATTACTGCAGTATTATTTAGAGTAAAAAATTGAAATATTCAACTAAATTTAAACTTGTATCTACTTATGAAATCCCAGGAGATTCATTGTAAAAACGAAGATGCAGTATTTTTCTCCCCTAGAAGAAAAACGAATCTATTTTATATAAATGAGTACTTGCAATTTGAAAATCTCACTAGGTATGATAAAGAAGACTGGCTGATTATTGCATTTGACCTTGTGAAGTCTTCGGTCTCCTTTCTCAGCTGGATCCTCTATTTCAGAGCAAGGGTAAAATCCAGGAAATGGTGTGAGAGGATTAATCTTTGGCCTACAGGAACCTGAGAAAGCACCCATCAAGCTGCTGATACTCCGTAGTGACGAAATCACTTGTGGAGGAAGGGTTGGGTCAATCAGAAGATCTGACACCATATTGCGAGCTTCATTTAGCACTGACAGATCAACTCCATTTCCACCTCCAGAATTCTAGAAAAGAAAAAGGTATCATGATGTATTCGCTACTTGGAAATTTTAACAGCTAAGGAAAACTTACTCCAAATTAAGGCCTTGTATCTGATAATAGCTAAGGAGCTCTGGTAACATAGTGGTTACAAGTTGGGCTGCTAATCTCATGGTCAGAAGTTCAAAACTACCAGAAGTTCAGTGAAAGAAAGATGAGGCATTCTGCTCTTGTAAATATTTACAACCTCGGAAACACTATGCAGGGTCGCTATGAGTCGGAACCAACTCCAAGGCACATGACCACCACCATCTGATAGTACTTAGGCTATTTAATACTGTCAAACATAAATCTTCAACTATTTAGGCATGGCATAAGTGATATAACAAATGGTATAATTCTAACTTTGACATTTTTTGATAGTAAGAATGATTCTGTGAAAGTTAATTTTTATCATTAGTTTTTCTCATTCTATTACTGACACACTACCGTTTCTAACTGGTATAGAATGAAACGTATACTTATTTTTAAATATATAATTTGGGCTTTTCACTATTTGGTTGAGGATTTTCTTTCCTATATGCCAAAGTATCTTTTAACGATGCACAGAAATTCTTTCATCTGCCTTATTCATTTGAGAGACAGTCTAGCACAGTGATAATAAAGCTTTGTTGCAAACACACAGTAGTTTGAGATCTAGACATGACCCTATCTCTGTGACTCTCAGAAAGTTATTTAACAGAAAGTTATTTAACATCTAAACACTTTTATAGTTTTTTTTTTCACTGTAAAATGGGGATAACATCTATCTCATTACAAGCTGATGTGAGAATTAAATCTGATTAAGTAAGTAAGGCACTAAAACTAGGTATATAGCACATGTGTCTAAAGTGCAATAAATGGTACTATTATAATTAATATTGCAGAAATTAATACGATAAAGATGCAAATAAAATTGTATCAAAAGAGAGAGGTAACTTTCTGGTGGATGATGGTTAACCAAAACTTCATGAAAGGTGTAGCATTGGCTGCGCCCTAAGCAACTGGTAGGAAAGAAGGTTTTTTGGGTACTTTTTATAAAGCAGAATTTAGGAAAAATATTTTATTTATGTGTGCATATGATTATTTTACAAATACATTATATGACACACATGATGTTAAACTCAGTTGTCCACAGAAATAAGTACACTGGTAATCGGAGGAGCGAATTAAAAGTGTTACTTTTCAGAAACAGAGGACCCTAGACCATCAAGTGAGAAGAGCACAAGTAGAATGTGGGACCTTATCCAGAGAAGCAGCAACACCAGAGATGGAGGCAGAGATGGGGACATGGAGAGAGGGAGCAGCTGAGGGCTCTAGATTCATGGGAGGAGAGGGACTGAGAGCTGGTGGCCAGGAGGCAGACTTGTAGAATGTGTTCTTTGGTGGTTTAAATCATTATATATGCCTGAGTGTTTAAAAAAAAAGAGCTAAAATGTATAGAGAGAAAGACTGTTAACTGATGGTACATGGAGGGGATTATGACCATTATAATGAAACAAAGTATATGATTTATTGAATGTAAAACTGATGATCTGCCTTGTAAACTTTCACTCAATTTACAATAAAAACTTAAAAAATAAAAAATAGTGTTACTTTTATTTGTTGTATTGTTCCTGAACTTCAATTTCTGTTTGAGAAAATTTGGAATTTATAAGTATTCAAATTATTTCATGAGTTTACAATGAAACTACTTACCTAGTATCTTACACAAGATTTAGAATGGAGAAATATTATGAATTTCATTTAGGCCCTCATGGGAGCTAAAGTATGTTCACCACTCATCTGTCAGTTTGTCCTACTGTTATGGCTTCTGTGTTGCTGTGATGCTGAAAACTATGCCACTGGTATTTTAATATCATCATGGTCATCCACGGTGGATAGGTTTCAGCTGAGCTCCAGACTAAGACAGACGAGGAAGAAGGACAGATGGACTACTTCTGAATATTTAGCCACTGAAAACCTTACAAATAGCAATGGAACACTGTCAGAGAGCACCAGAATATTGAATATTAAAACATGACAAATAGCACCAGAATATTGTAAGATACAGTGCCAGAGGGTAAGCCCGTCAGATTGGAAGGCACTCAAAACATGACTGGGGAAGAGCTGCCTCCTCAAAGTAGAGTTGGCCAAGATGATGTGAATGGAGTAAAGCTTTCAGGACCTTCATTTGAAGGTGGGACATAACTCAAAATGAGGAGAAAGAGCAATAAATATCCATTAATAATTGGAATTAATAATATGGACTATATGAAGGGTGAATATAGGAAAATTGGAAGTTTAAAAAAAAAATGAAATGGAATACATAAAGATCAATATCCTAGGCTAGTGAGCTGAAATTGACTGGTATTGACCATTTTGAATATGACAGTCATATGGTTTGCAATACCTGGAATGACAAACTGAAGAGGAATAGCATAACATTCACAATCAAAATCATTTCAGGATCTTTCTTGAAGTTTAATGCTGTCTGTTATAGGAAAATATCCATATACCTCACCTATAAAGAAGACCAGTTAATACCACGATCATTCAAATTTACACAGCAGCCACTAAGGCCACTGATGATAAAATTTAAGAATTCTACCAAATTCTGCAGCCTAAAATTGATGGAACATGTAACCATGATGTACTGATAATCACTGGTGATTGGAATGAAAAGATTGGAAACAAAGAGGAAGGGTCAGTAGTTGAAAAATATGGCCTTTGGGAAAGGCTGGAGATAGCATGATAGAATTTTATAAGACAAATGACTTCGTCATTTCAAATACCTTTTTTAAACAACAAAGATGACTATATACATGGACTTCGCCAGATAGAATACAGTCAAAAAAGTCAAGAGAGGAAGACTATGGAACAGACCATAAATTGCTAGTTCAGACTGAAGCTTAAGAAAATTAAAGCAAGTCCATGAGAGCCAAATCTGACCTTGAATATATCCCACCTGAATTCAGAAATTATTTCAAGAACATGTTTGATTGCATTAGACACTAACAGCTGAAGATCAGAAAAGTTGTAGGATAATATCAAGAACATCATACAGGAAGAGAGCAAATGGTCATTAAGAACACAAAAAAAGAAAGAGAAGACCAAAACGGATCTCAGAAGAGATTCTGAAAATTGATCTCTAGTGTATAGATGTTAACGCAAATGGAAGAAATGAGGAGGCAAAAGAAATGAACAGAAAATTTCAAAGAGCAGCTCAAGAAGACAAAGTCAAATATTATAATGAAATATGCAAATATCTGGAGTTAGAAAACCAAAAAGGAACAACACTCTCAGCATTTCTCAAAATGAAGAACTGAAGGAAAAAATTCATGCCTCAACTTTTCATACTGAAGGATTCTATAGGCAAAATATTGAATGATGCAGAAAGCATCAAAAGAAGATGAAAGGAATAGACAGAGTTACTGTATCAAAAAAGGAATGGACAAAGTGCAATCATTTCAAGAGCTAGCATATTATAAAGAGTCAATGGTACAGAAGTAAGAAGTCTAAGGTGCACTGAAGGCATTGGCAAAGAACGGGTTCTAGGATTTGATAGAATGTAAATTAAAATCTTTCAACAAACTGACACAGCACTGGAGGCACTCATTCATTTTATGCCAAGAAATTTGGAAGACAGCTAACTGGCCAACTGATTGGAAGAGATCAATATTAGTGCTCATTCCAAAGAGAGGTGGCCCAATGGAATGTGGAAATCACCAGATTATATTATGAATATCATGTACAGGTAAAATTTTGCTAACGATAATTCAAAACCAGCTGCAACATTACATTGACAGGGAACTACCAGAGGTTCAAGGTGGATTCAGATGAGGCCAGAGGTTCAAGGTGGATTCAGACGAGGCCATGGGACAAAGGATCTAACTGCTGACTTCAGATGGATCTTGGCTGAAAGCAAAGAATACTAGAAAGATGATTACCTGTGCTTTATTGACTATGCAAAAGCTTTTGACTATGTGGATCACATGACAAGCTATGCACAACATTGTAGAGAACAAGTATTCCGGAACACCTACTTGTGCTCATGAGGAACGTGTACATAGACCAAGAGGCAGTTGTTAGATCAGAATAAGGGGATACTGAATGGTTTTAAATCAAAAAAGGTGTGTGCCAAGATCGTATTCTTTCACCAAATTTATTCAATCTTCTATGCTGAGCAAATAATCTGAGACTCTGAATTATATGAAGAAGAGCATGGTATCAGGATTGGAGGATGACTCATATGCAGATGATACAACATTGCTTGCTGAAAGTGAAGAAGACTTAAAATATTTACTGATGAAAAATGAAAAACCACAGCCTTCAGTATGGGTTGCACCACAGTCTAAAGAAAACAAAAATCCTCACCACTGAAGCATCATGAGAAATGGAGAAAAGATTGAAATTGTCAAAGATTTCATTTTGCTTGGATCTACCATCAACATTCATGGAATCGGCATTCAAAAAATCAACTGATGTATTGCACTGGGCAAATCTTCTGCAAAAGAACTCTCTAAAGTGTTCAAGAACAAAGATGTCAGTTTGAGGACTAAAGTACACCTGACCAATGAATGCCATGGTATTTTCAATAGCTTCAAATGCATGTGAAAGTTGGACAGTGAATAAGGAAGACTGTAGAAGAATCAATGCATTTGCATTATGGTGTTGGAGAAGAATGTTAAAGGTACCATAGACTGTCAGAAGAACAAACAAATCTGTGTTGGTGGAAGTACATTCAAGCCAAAATTGTCAGATTTTCTCTCTCATACTTCTGACATATTATCAGGAGGGACTAGTTCACGGAGAAGGACATCATGCTTGGTAAAGTGGAGGGTCTGCATAAAAGAGGAACACCCCAAACAAGATGGGATGGCACCATGGCAGCAGCAATGGACTCAAAACTTAATAAAGATTTTGAGGATAGCGCAGGACGAGGCAGTATTTTATTCTGCTGTGCATACAGTCTCTAAGAGTCAGAACCAACTCAACAGCACTAACAACAACAACAACAATGACAAAGAATGTCCTTATACTTTGTGGTGGCTTTTTTTTTTTTCCTGTCTTGTGAAGTGTTATTTTGTGTGAATTTTTATTTTAAAACATTCCCCAAATCTGAGGCATAGTTCAGCTATTTCTAGTTTTCATCTATTTTAAATAACATTAAAACTAACAGTTCTATCTATATGTCACTGTGGTTGGTTGATGGTTGTGTGTCGTGGAGTCGGTTCTGACTCACAGTGACCCTGTATAGGGTATTCAAGGGTGTAAATCTTTACAGGAGCGAAAAGCCTCATCTTTCTCTCGTGGAAACACGGGTAGTTGAGGTTAACAGCCCCACTCATAACTACTAAGCTACCAGAGCTACAGACAACTAAGTATACCTCTGAGAGACAGCATCCAATAATTCAAGTCATTGAAGAAAAGCAAATACATACACACAAAAATGAAACAATATTATTTTCAACATTAATAGAATAATGGGATAAAATCCTAGGATCATATCATTAGATGTAGAAAAAACATCTGACAAAAGGAGATGCTTTGCTTTTTCTTATACATGGCTTTCAAAGTACTTTCCCTCTGCCTGTTGATCAATGGTCTACAATAGTCTACAATTAGAAAACAAAAAAAAACAAAAAAAAAAACCCTTACTCGTAATACAGAAGTCTGAGTTTATTCTGAATCTGTATTATATTAATAGCGTAACCATTTGTTGTTAAGTGCCGTCAATGGGTTCGGGCTCAGAGCGACCCTCCATAGGATTTCTGAGGAGCACCTGGTGGATTTGAACCACCAACTTTGCAGTTCTAACTGACCTTGTGGTCCAGTGTTTAGCCAATGGCACTACACCAGGACTCCTTAATTAACTATCTGTCTGGTTTATTATCATTTTTATTGCATACTGTACTTAAAATATATCTTCTCAAAGTCTACTTAAATAAAGGTGCTAGCTATTTGTTATTGTAACTAAAGAAAATCTATGGCACAGAAATCTTATGAATATAACTTCAATATAACTGTCAAAATTCTCATTCCAGTAATCAGTTATTAGTTGTATTACTTATAATTACCTGATAATGAGGCTTGTACCATTGCTTTAAATCCCAATCCCAAAGAATCATCTGAAAGAAAGAAACAAATCATTTTGTTACAAACGAAATAAATATCTATAAAGACAAAACACAGCATATTAAATCACAGATATCTAAAAATAACTTAAAATTTAGAAGAGAATCAGTAAGGTGAGAGAAAAAAAATGTCTTGACACTAGTTATATGAAGTAGATTCAAAAACTTTGCAGAAATAAAGGAATTGCAAGATAGTGGACGTTTTCCACAAAGTTTTGAAGCCCTCTTGTACAACGTATAATTTTAAAATCAGAACAGTAAAGAATCATCAAAACAAAACCACTAAATATGCTACATCAGCCTTCAAAATAATTATTACGATAGAAAAGGTTAATATAAATCCAAAAATCACATCGACTAACTAAAAATACAATAATAGTTACATACCACCAGACACACTTTCCCTTTTCATTCCCTTCAAAATGTTCATAACTTACTATCACAAACCAGTGCACCAAAGGGTGCTACTATTTTCTTACCAAGATAGCACTAACGTTTATGGTTAGATTAAGAAACATGTTTTTAAAACCAATCCTCCAGTCTTTTGCCATGCAGGCAATTCATGATTGTTCTCTATTTCCTTTATAGGCAATATATGCTAACTTCTTAGTTGTAGACTCGTTTTCTTGCCATTTTCCTAGCAGAATTTCTAGCTGCTTCCTCAGCCAGTAGTCACTATGCTCAAGGTGATCAAAGTGGCTTTAATTTTTTTCAAGTAGCAAGTCATAAAAATCACCTATTACTAATCCTAAACTAAAGTTTACTAAATTAATGTCTTTTGCTTAAGAAAATAATGATTTCTATCTTCTATATAGTTTGATCCCTAAACTTATATACAAACCTTATTAATTTGTAATAGATACACATCATTTCCTTATATTGTTTCTTGCAGTTGGTCTTATGTCTACTGATTGCTAATGACCTTAAAGTATTATCAAGTCTATCATTGGTTCAATATTTTATCAAAAATCAGCAATTTTTTTCTGCAAAGGGACCAATGATAAATATTTTAGGCTTTGTGAGTTGCATAATGTCTCCATAGCATAGGGCATATAGGTAGGTAGGCAGGTATAGAAAGAGAGGGATGGATGGATGGATGGATGGATGGATGGATGGATGGATGGATGGATGGGTAGACAGACAGACAGACAGACAGACAGACAGACAGACAGACAGATAGACAGATAGACAGATAGACAGATAGACAGATAGACAGATAGACAGATAGACAGATAGATAGATAGATAGATAGATAGATAGATAGATAGATAAACAAAAATGTTGGTGCTGTCAAGTTGATTCCAACTCATGTGATGGAGTTGAAATGCACATAGGGTTTTCTTAACTATAATATTTATGGAAGCAGATTGCCAAATTATTGTCCCGCAGAGCTCATGGGGAGGTGTGACCACCAATCTTCCAGTTAGCAGCCAGACCTTAATCAAATACATGTTGTTGCTGTTTTCAAGTGCCATGGAGTCAGTTCTGACTCATGGCAACACTGTATTAGGGTTTCCAAGAAGCAGCTGGAGGATTTTAATCGCCGACTTTTTGATTAGCAGTCAAATATTAATCTTACAGTGCCACACCAGGACTCCTAATCAAATACATATTAATATATATAC